CATGCAGATCCTAAATAAAAATGTAAAAGCAGTGCCTTTTAAATATCCCCGCTGCTGACAGTGAGGTTTAAAGGCACTACAATCTGTCAGAATGGAGAGAACCTGGTGCATTCACCATCCGGAATGAGAAGATGGATAAAAAATTCCAAAGATGGTGTCAGCTTTCTGAAAATAAATGAGCCCCATTTCAATACATGATGTGGTGGTGCAGGGTTTTATTGGATTACAGTCTATTTTTCCAATCCATATTCCCTTAACTTGCTGGTAAGGATATTGTGGGTGGCCGTATCAAAAGCTTTGCTAAAGCTTGCTCTGGGGGCTTTGGGAAGACCAAAATCACCATATTTGCATATTTGTAATTTGCTTAATGAACATGCAAATATGCAAATTAATGTCGTCGGTCCTCCGAAAGCTCATGAATGGATTTACTGGTCCTTGTGTCAAAAAGTACTGGAACCCCTGACCTATAACATAAAGAGCTTGATACAAAATTTCTATGGAAAAGACTGGATACATGGTTCTCTTAATACAAGGGATTCTATAAGAAGGCTTAACATAAAGTTATCTAAAAGGACAAGTTCTATATATATAAAGGGACTTACAAAGTTTCTCTTAATACAAACTTATAGGAGAATGATGCATGGTTATATGGAAATGTTACAGAGATTTATCCACATTCATTCTCTCTTCAATTGCAGAGACGTTCTCCAAGCCTCCGTTCTGAGTCTTCACTGGAGCAGAGTTTGCGAATCACTGTTGGTAATGACCGGTATGGCATTGACACACCAGAACGAAGGAGGATGCCTGATCGACAGGGTTCACCAACTGATAATCTGAGTGATATGGACAGGTATGGTTCTCTGCAGACTGGGATCCCCAAGAGCGAGACAGCAGTTTAAACCAAGACTTGTGAGGCTTAGCTCTTCACGTAATTTTTGTGGAATGCCTTATTTGAGCAAGAGAAAAACCTAAATAACACCCCCAGAATAAAGTGGGAGTTCTGGCTAGGGTAAAGCTGTAGCAGTGGTTGGGATCTCGGTGGAGTGGGAGTGGGCATCAAGATGTAAAAGCAAAATGCAGGACAATGTAGCACTTTAAAGACTAACAAGATGGTTTATTAGATGATGAGCTTTCGTGGGCCAGACCCACTTCCTCAGATCAAAAAGCTCATCATCTAATAAACCATCTTGTTAGTCTTTAAAGTGCTACATTGTCCTGCATTTTGCTTCAACTACCCCAGACTAACACGGCTACATTTCTATCAAGATGTAAAAGCAATCTTTTGGAATTTGGCAAAAGGCCATGATTTGTTGCTGAGACATTGAGAAGGAGAGAGTCTCACTCAAGATAAAAATACAGTGAAGTGGTAGATTTCCAAAAGCCCCACTGATGGGACTTGTTGACAAGTTTTAAGAGATTTCTTTGGTGAGACAGATACTGCAGTGGGGAGCGTGGTATAAATTTAGATGGATGTTTATATTTTTAAAGTGTATATTACAGAAAAATAGGTGAAACTGGGCATAGAAAATAAAGAACTAATACTTGAAGCTTGAATCCTGTTTTCCTATCTGAAATTGTTATCCTCTTTGATATAAAAACACAGTAGTCGGAATTGGAAAACACTTTATATAGAATCTGTGTCCTCCATAATCATAATTGCTGCATCCAGTTGTGACTTCAAGTGAGGGTTAAGCATGGGGTGCGGAGGAGGCACTGAAACATCCTGTTTTCATGCAAATACTCCTACAGTCGTGGCACAATGAAGGAGAACTGAACAGAATTCATTCATTAGAAGTGAATTGGTCCTTTAAGATTTTAAGTTCCAGAAGGTGCAATAAATCAAGTTAGTTTTGTTAGTATTATAATTTTTAAGCCTTCTGCCTCAATTCTCTATAATCAGTATTTCATCTGTAAATCCCAGTTGCAGGTATTGGTTTTCTGGCCAGAACTGGTGCACGTGCACAGGGGATAGCCGCATGTTCTGGAGGTAGGGGGAAATGATACAAAAGAGAGTTGTGAGCACAGCCACAATGTTGACTTGTCTTTATTTGCCTGTTGGGGCTTCCCCACTGTTTCCTTTTCTCCAGTAGGCATATATATATATATTTTTTTTGCGGTCATGCTGCACAGTTAGAAGTGGTGTTTAATGTAAAAGTGAAAATGTTCTGAAAATGCTGTGAGGGACATTACCTCCCTCAGAGAAATTAATAGCTTTCGCTTGGGCTCCCTGATAAAAGTTTATTACTCATTTGAATTAACAAAAGTAGTGAGGAACATAGGGCTAAAAAAAGTATGAAAAGCGATAGCTAAACCAGACTGAAAAAAGGAAAGGGAGATAAAACAAACTTATGTTCTATTTGAATGCTTGCTCATACCTATTCGCTGTTGACATGCAGGCACCCTATGTATTGCGGTTCAAATTCTTTTGGTCAGCAGTTGTTGGGCTGCATCTGCACCGAGTGTCCTGCCTCCCACCAGAGGGCATAAGGGGTGCAGTGACCCCAGCTTTATCTTAGATGTCCTCCCCTCAGCTATGAATCAGTTAGAACTTGCAACATCCTCAATAAGTTAGTTAGAACAACCAACATTATTGGTTACTGTGTGATATATGTATTATTTTGTAAATAGCTAGTTACTAAGCAATTAGTTACTTGTGTGTGTTATAGAATTTTTTGTAGGTTTGTTCCTCCAGAAGAAGAAAGGAAACCTTTTTCTTTTTTTGCACATGTGATTGTCTGGTACTGACTAGGGATGGAAGAGGATAAGCATTTACACAGTTAACCAACAAGACTGGGCTAATTGGTTACTGAAATGGTTGCACACGCAGGCTCCCACCCTACTTCCAGTGAGCTGGCTACTACCTTGCTCTGCTGCCTAGGGAATAGGGCGTTCGCCTGGAGAGGCAAGGATGGTGGGTTCAAGTTCCGCCCACCCTGGGAGCGGTGGGACAGCCAGCACACAGGCTGACCCTGGGATCGATCTGGCTCCCGCACATGCAAGGCAGGATAAGGGACGCCCTGAAGGTAAGGTGGTGGAATGGGTTCTCCCATGGACTGCCATGGGATAGGGCGTTCACCTGGGGAGGGCAGGGTGGTAGGCTCAAGGCTCAAGTCCCTCCCCCCCACCCTGGGATGGGGAGGGACAGCCAACACCCAGGCTGCCCCCAGGATAGAGGTGGCTCCTGCACGTGGAAGGCCTGGAGCTGGCATGCACTGGGAATAGGTTAAAAAAACGGCTCCTGAGGAGCTGGCTGCTGCCCCATGCTTCTGCCTCTAATGTATAGGCAGCAGCCAGCTCCCTGGAAGCAGGATGGCAGGTGGGAGCCAGTGTGTGCTGGGAGCTGCTTTTTAAGTCAGGTGCGAGCACCCACTGGCTTCCAGGGAGCTGGCTGCCGCCCTGCCCTGCAGATATGTGTAACCATGGAACTGTTGAAGAAATTTTAATTGATTACATGTTTACTCAGTTACCCGCTTTTGTCACAAGAGGGCGCTATGATCCGGTTGATGAAGCTGTATCACAATACACACATACTTCGGCATTCACAGAACAAGTGTCTTCCACAGTATCTTAAACATATCTTAACAAGTTTTATTGCACGCAATTCAGGAGCAGTTTTAAAAGCACTATATGTATGTTTAATACTAAGCAATTAAAACATCATTAAAAGACATTATAACGCATCACAAGCATGAAAAGGCATTAAAAGCAATAATTAAATGGAGTACTTAACAATCTAAATCTAATACTTAACCCAATTTAGCAGCCTAAGTCTTAATCCAATTTAACACACTCACACACAGTTACCCTCTGGAGTTGGCCAGACCCCAGGTAACGTTGGTTAATTTGGTTGAGGCAGAAATCCGATGTGCATGTCACCCCAATATGCCGAATCAATGGACTCCCAACTCATGGGGCAAAATGGTGTGGTATATATTCCCTCGGCAGGGGCCAGTCGGGTGGGATGCTGTCCTCTGGCTGCACTCAGTTCAGGTGGGGTGATGTCCCTTAGTGACACCTCCTTCTTACTGGTGTGTCCACAACCAATCCAGAAGCACCCGGTTTCTGCACCACCCAATTTTGCTTGCCTCACCACGAGTGAGAAACAAGGTTCTGTCCTTCTTGCTTTTTCTTATCTGGAAATGCTGGAAACACTGCCTCAGCACACATACACAGTTCTTTTATTTCACACAGTCCTTTTTCTTAAAGTTGTAAACAAGTCCATAATCCTGTGGGGCTCTTGCCAGGACCTCAGCAAGGCCTCTCTTCAGCTCACTTACTGTTAATTCACTCATGCTAACCATTCACACTACCCATGATTCGTAACACTTTTAACATTCCTAGTGCTGACACCAAACACCTATGACTGAATGTACATCTGTAGGTTTTAAAAATTACCTTTTGTGTGAGGCAGTAATGCTTTTGATTTCTCTTGCAGGCCAGATGTGTATAGATCAGGGTGGGCAAAATACAGCCTGCAGGTCTGCCAAGCTTCCAGATCTGGCTAGCAGCCCAGTGGGAGCCTCAGGCATGCTCCCTGCCTTCTGCACTCACACGCCACTCAAAGCAGCCGACTGCGGGAGACACATGCTTCTCTGAGTGTTGCGCGCCCTCGGGTAGAGGGGTGAAAGCTTAGCACGCTGCACCCACCTAGCCAGTGGCGATTGAGATTGTTCTGGGGGCAGGAGCAGTGTGCAAAGATCCCCCGTGGTGTGTGTGCTCACAGCGCTTAGAGAAGCACATGGCCCCCACAGCTTTGTCTCACTGGACTCTCTTTGAGGAGCCAGAAATGTCATATTGTCTCAGAAAAGAGTTGCTCAAATCCCAGGAAGTGTCCTGCTGGTGTTGGCCATAGCAACACTATTCCAGCTAGATCCTGGAAATTGTAGTTGTGGGCTATTTTGTCCAATTCCAGACCTTCCCTTTTCACTATCTACCTTCCTTATTCTTTTTCACTATTCTTCAAGGAGGTAGTGTCACTTCTGAATTTCAGAGGAATGGAAGCAGTATCTCAAGAAGAGAGGTGGGGAAGAGGTTTATATCTCTTCCTTTCTAATTCAAAAAAGGGGGGAAAGAGGAGCTAGTGCCCTATTGTGGACCTGAAATAATTGAACACCTAATTTTCAAGCTCAAATTCAAGATCGTGACTCTGGCCTTGATAATTTCCATCCTTGATCCACGTAACCTGTATACAGTTCTTGGCCTCCATGACATTTATTTTCATAAAGCAATTCATCCTGCCAAAAGAAAATACATGAGGTTTCAAGTAAGCAGTTACCATTGTCAGTACATGGGCCTGCCATTGTCTTTTGATAGTGCTGGGAGAATTCACCAAATGTTTAATTCATTTGTCACCAATTCCATACAACAGACCCTGCAACTTTTTTAATCCTTCGGATTAAAGTAAATGACCAGTAGTTCATATCAATTCTGTCCTTTTGGTTTGAATTTATATGAGTGCTTCATATAAGTTCCAACCAAAATGAGGGAATTTATAGAGGTGATTTTGGACTCCCAAGTGGCCTTTCTGACCCAAGAAAGATTTAAAGCCATAGCAGGTTTGACACACAGCCTATGTTCATCTCAAGATATTTGTAAGAATTTGTTTCAGACTTGTAGGGCACATGGCCTTCTGCATGTGCATAACTCACCTGACCAAACTTTACCTTTGTTGTATGCAAGAGTGGTTGAAGTATGTGTATCAGTCCATTATACAGCATCTGATTTAGGGATGTAAGCGACTAGTCGACTGTTTGATAAGCAAAAGCTTATTGGATAGTCAACTAGTCCCTCGACGAGTTACTTCCCTCCCTTGCTGCCTGTATCAGAGCCAGCAAGGAGGTGGAACAGGAA